GCTGCCCGGCCTATAAACAGATGGCGGCCGGGCGAACAGCTCGTCCCTCCGGATGGATGCCATATGGCGTCCATTCCGGAACACACATTGCTGAGAGCTGTAAGTTAACGGAATCCTTCAGAAGAAGGTCATGTAGATAACCTGTCAACTGGATACCCCGAATTCTGAGAGAGGCAAGCAAAGGTGCTAACATCTTTGTAGAGTACCTTATAAAGGCTCTAGGTGGAAGTGGCATTAAAGTGTGGCGTTAACAGTGGTGTGATGCAACCCCTGGTTTACGTGAGATTGAATTACCTGAGTGGTTGAATTTTAGTGCCAAATTTGAAAAGTTTACACTGTGCATACAGTTCAAACATTGCCCCCCCCCCCTTTAGGAACTGGGTTTCACTGCAATGGAATACAGCCCTTGACCAGACCCTGTAACTAACTCAACGCATTGGACTAGGTACCAACTTGAGCACCCCATGCACGATCCAGTTCCAGTGCTCAAAGCAGCATTACAGGCTTTCTCCACAACGTGTGGTCCAGGTATGTCTCCTCAAGGTTTTATCAAGGTTGCATCGATCAGGCATTAGAAGGCAGTGAGGTTGATTGAATAATTCTTTAGAAAATAACAAAGGAAAATAATAAATCAGTGAAGATAATTTCTCCAGGAAGAAGATGATGTTCACAGAGCCTGTAACCTCTAGTGTTAAAACAAGATGTCTCTGTCCTGTACTGTACGATTAACATAATACCTTTATAATTTATGATTGCCAAGTTTCATAAACCTTTATTTACATTGAATCTAAATATTTTATAATCTTCTCAGTGGAGTCCCACTCTTACAGTTTTGTGGGGCGGCTCCAGAACTATGAGTGACAGCAGAGTACTTCCACTCCTACAGCTCTCCCAGTTCACTAGACCAGAACACTCGCTATCCCAGATTTATCGAATCTTTTTAAAAGCTTTTCATCCAGATCCTCTGTAATTACTATCTAAATGGGAACGGAGCTGAATTCATCACCTGACGACATGGATTGGAAAACACTGGCACTTTCCTTTAAACTATCTATATCATCCCATGCCCGGAAACATAACTACTGTATTGTGTCTCGGTGGTATCGATGCCCTACTATCCTACAAAGAATGGACCCTACTATCCTGGTTACATGCTTGAGATGCTTACAAGCCCCTGGGACCATGACGCATATCTGGGGCACCTGCCACATATTATCCCTTTCTGGGATAAAATGCTACAGTTATATGACAAACTTGTAGGGGACAAATTCTCAAATGCACCTCGCATAACTATACTTTTTATGTTGCCAGGCTCCTATAGACAAATCAAGAATAGCTTAATTCGCGATTTCCTTACAGCAGCCCGCTTCGTCATTACTAGACATTGACGGCAACCATCTGTACCCTCTTTGGCTGATTGGGCTTGTGAAATGGACAGGATTGAACACCTGGAACACATGGAAGCATGGGAGGATAATAAGACTGACTGTCACAAACTTATGTGGACCGTCTGGTCATATTTCCAGTTTTCCTCCAATTTTGGGGACTTTGTAGCTGTTCCTTCTGGGGCCTCTCAGGTATAGATGGCATCCACATTTGTTTATTTTTCTTTCTCCATTCTCTACCTCTCTCTATGGTATACTTAATATCTTCCATCTATTTCTTGTATACATGGTGCTCTGGACTGCACTGTTCTGTTTATTATATAGATCATAGCGCCACTATACCTTTTTCATTGTGATCTTTCACGTTACAATGTTGATGGTTATAGAGCTAACAATATCTGCAAATGCTTTGCTACTCTTAACGTCTCTTAATGACCTTTACTTTCTTATAACCTTGTGATATCTCGTCTTGCATTACTCTAGCCTATATGCATCTCTGTACATTTATTGGACATAGACATGTGCTCTTATGGTTGTGCTCTGTACTGTTTAAACACTGAATAAAACAGTTTCAACATAAAGCAGAACTATAGGCAAAAATCTTTTTTTATTTTGGATAGTGTAAGGGAGGGTTAAAACCCTTGTCAATTTTATTTTTTTTTTCGAGTCCATTGGGAAAATATACCTTCACTTTCTGACCTATAGCCAAAACAGGAAGTAAGAGGAAATCCATACAAATGAAAGGAATCCCTTGGCACCCCACCCAAGGTCATCAGAACCAGTGTCCCCATTGAAAGATTTCCGCTCTATTACTTTTCTAGGGACAACCCACAATTGGTGATTTTTTTTACTTTCAATGATAATGGTATACAGGACAAATAGAAAGGGTGAAATCTCCCTAATGGTGAAAGCAATAGCAACCTGACAAGTGTGCGAATCCATCTCCACTCTGTTCAAAACTAAAAAATGGTTTGCCTTTAGTTATACTTTAAACTTCATGAAATATGGCGATCATAACTGAAGGGCAGTTACAAATACAAAAAAAACCACTATTGATATTTAGAGATTTTTTTTTTTTTACAAATAGTCACATGACCGGCAGAGCACCAATTGGTTCTATGAGGCCCTGGACAAATGATCCAAATGTACTGCTGTGACGTGTGCAGGACACGTCACAGTATGGGAATCAGATCCACCCACAGATTTCCAGAAGAACTGGAAAGAGATCACATGACCAAGATACAGAAAGTTTTAAAAAGTTATTTACACTCATTCAAATGCTGTAATATGTCAACTATATTGCTATTATATATTTTACATACAGAATGTCAAAGCATATATGATTGGGATTAGAAACACAAACACACATTTTTACAAAGCGTAGGTCACCATAAAACACACAATTTCTGTTTACCAACAAGGATATATTTTTGTCAGGAAAGGTTCAAGAAAGAGAAAAGTCCAGATCTGAAGAACGGTCATGTATTTTTTATTTTAAAAATTGTGGGAGAATAAAAAAAAAAATGAAAGAGGAGTTCAGCTTGAGCTTCCACGGCACAGAGCCTATGTTTGTTTGATATCACATACAGTGGATATAAAAAGTCTACACACCCCAGTTAAAAGGTCAGGTTTCTGTGATGTAAATAAATAAGACAAAGATAAATAATTTCAGAACTTTTTCCACCTTTAATGTAACCTATAAACTGCACAATTCAGTTCAACAACAAACTGAAATCTTTTAGGTGGAGGGAAGTAAAAATAAAAAACTAAAATAATATGGTTGCATAAGTGTGCACACCCTTAAACTAATACTTTGCTGAAGCCCCTTTTGATTTTATTACAGCACAGAGTCTTTTTGCGTATGAGTTTATCAGCATGGCACATCTTTGACTTGGCAATATTTGCCTACTTTTCCTTGCAAAAACACTCCAAATCTGTCAGATTGTGAGGGCATCTCCTGTGCACAACCCTCTTCAAATCAAATCAACCCCACAGATTTTCGATTGGATTCAGGTCTGGGCTCTGGCTGGGCCATTCCAAAACTTTAATCTTCTTCTGGTGAAGTCATTCCTTTGTTGATTTGGATGTCTGCTTTGGGTCGTTGTCATGCTTTCTAGCAGAAGCCTGCAGGTTTTGTGCCAATATTGACTGGTATTTGGAATTGTTCATAATTCCCTCTACCTTGACTAAGGCCCCAGATCCAGCTGAAGAAAAAAAGCCCCAAAGTATGATGCTGCCACCACGACGCTTCACTGTTTTTGCGCCAAACATATCTTTTGGAATTATGGCCAAAAAGTTCAACCTTGGTTTCATCAGACCAGAACACATTTTCCCACATGCTTTTGGGAGACTTCAAATGTGTTTTTGCAAAATTTAGCCGGGCTTGGATGCTTTTCTTTGTAAGAAAAGGCTTCCGTTTTGCCACTCTACCCCACAGCCCAGACATATGAAGAATATGGGAGATTGTTGTCACATGTACCACACAGCCAGTACTTGCCAGATATTCCTGCAGTTCCTTTAATGTTGCTGTAGACCTCTTGGCAGCCTCCCAGACCAGTTTTCTCCTCGTCTTTTCATCAATTTTGGAGGGACGTCCAGTTTTGGTAATATCACTGTTGCACCATATTTCCTCGAATTGATGATGACTGTCTTCACTGTGTTCCATGGTATATCTAATGCCTTGGAAATTCTTTTGTATCCTTCTCCTGCCTGATACCTTTTAACAATGAGATCCCTCTGATGTTTTGGAAGTTCTCTGCGGACCATGGCTTTTGCTGTAGGAAAGACCTACTATAACAGCTGAACTTTATTTGGGGTTAGTCAGAGGCACTTTAAATGATGGCAGGTGTGTACTGACTCCTATTTAACATGATTTTGAATGTTACTGCTTAAGAAACCTGACATTTAAACAGGGGTGTGTAGACTGTACATCCACTGTACGTTTTCAAATCCACCTTCCTGAAATGGATTACATATGCATAAAAAGGGGCTCTTAACCAGCAGAGAAAGCAGTTCTGAAGTGTGAGCACCATCCAACTACCAAAAGACAATCTTCATCCAAAGACTCTTTCACTGACTGTAGATGGGGAGATTGATGATTTTGTACCCAAGCAGCACTTGAAATTTCAAGTTTCCACACCACGTCAAAATAGTGGACTTCAGGAAAAATATTGTGCAGGTGCACCTACATGCCCCCAATTCAAATGCAAATACCCAAATAGCTACCTTTTGTGAAAATCACCTTTCAAAAGTATAACTAGAAATATAGGCAGCTGTTTTAGGGCTTGTTCACACAAAGTGAATTGGTAATGGACTTGTGTAGTGCAAGACAAGGCAAAAAAAAAAAACCTTGTTCACTATGAGGCCAGTTCACACCATTGTGTAACAGTAGTGTGTGCTGAAAAAGGTGCTGCATATAAGTTCTAAAATAAGAGGCAAACAAAAACAGTAAATAGTGTTATGTGCAGATATATCAGCATAAATGGCCAACATATTTTCAGCTACCTATATATCTGAATCTAGCATGTATTATTCATGAGCCGTTCACATAATTTAAATTTAAAATAAGTAAGCTTTAAGCTGTAATTTTTGGATTTTACTCCATTTTACATTTACCTGTAGGTAATGAATCAAAATTGGCAGAATATTCAAGGGATGGTGAATTTTCTAGGTTTTGCATTCCAGTGGAAGTGGATGTCAGGGATTTGCTGGGTGGTCCAGATGTGTGACTTATGACAGGCTCTGAATCAGGAATTGGCTTTCCTAATCTAGTGTGCAATTTCACAACCTGTAAAAGTATAAGAAAAGCAAAAGATGAACTATGTATGGGTGGGATAAACATAACACACAAAAATAGTTTTTGGTTTTTTTTTTTTTTGTAATTCCTGAAAAATCCTTTTCTCTGCTCTCATTGGAGGACACATCTCTGCTTTGGATAATAATCGACTGGGTATATTACCACATGCAGTAGTGGGGCACTAGGTGCTTTAAGAGTGTCCAGGGATTGACAAAGGCTGGTGGTCAAAACACCCTCTACAGCTGTGGACAAGTCAGTTACATGGCAGTGCAAATAACAAGAACTAAATATTTACACCAATGGGCAGCAGCAAGACAGGGGCGGATGCATGGTCCTCCAAAGAATGCAGAGAAAATGTCTTTAGAGTGAGTACAAAAATCCTATTTTTTTCTTTAATGCACTTAAGGATACAGCTGTTCTTCAGATAATCAACTGGGATGTGCCAAAGCAGTTCCACAATGGGGTTGGCTAATAAATAGAATAGAAAGTTAGCCTAACCCATCTTAAAGAAAATTAATACACATCCAACTGCCTCCTGCAAATCTTTACCCCCCAAACCATCATGATGCTGCCAAAACCACATTATAAACTTTGGTGAATGTATGAACGAACAACCAGGTGGCTGCCTTACAACTTGGCGGAAGGACCAGAATGCACTTTCCTCACTGTGATAGATTGTGCTGTTACCAAGAAAGGGTGGTTCTCAGTGATTGAGGCATTTGCAATTGATTCTGCTCGGCCCTCCTGTGGGCCCTCTACAACCAAGAACAGAACCATCTAAGTAAAGACCACTTTTTAGGATACTTACCTTGATTTCTCTGTCCAAAGACAGACATGTGTTATTTCACTGCGACAGAATCTCATGCTGCGAATTTCTGGAGGGATGTTGTACGGAAAATTGCCAGTAGGTGATTACCTAAAGCAATGTGTCCTCCAGTGAAGACTGGGACCACTGGCATACTGATATCATACTTCAAAAGGGAGTACAAAATTACATTCAATATACTTAAGGCTGGATTTAAAAAACTGTGCATGCATTCATGCACTGCAGCAAGGAGGACAGGTGTAAATGAGCTTTAAAATGAAGTGCATATGAGACAAAAATTTAGTAGCACAGGTAAACATTTCCATCAAGTCAAGCCAAGAGTGCACTGTGTCAATAAGAACTAAAATTAAAGATGCCGGAGAGGAGAAAGCAGGAGGGGCTGAGCCAAGTCTGCAGAAATGTCACAAAATGGTATACACATGTGCAGTGTGCCCGACCCAGAAGAATGTTACACAGGCTCAGTGAAAAAATGCACCAGATTTAAGAATGGAAACAATTATTTCCCACTGACTGCTTGCAACTGAATGTGTCACACTCGATGCTCCAATGTTACACCCATGGGGGTCCAGATGCTCCATTCAATGGGCAAAGGCCCTTGCAGTCGCCTTCCATCCTGCACCTTCCCCCAAGGCAAATAGACAGGGTAATAGGGATGAACCCTATTCAGTATTCTTGACCCATCAGGTGGGCATACTCCCTAAGAATTCTATGGAGACTGAGTTCCACCACATCGGTGTAGCTCAACCCTGGACCTGTAGGGCACCCTGTGGCTAACTCAACATGTTGCACCTTGTGTCTAGGTGACCGCCACATTGCAGGATCCACTGTCTGGATTGGCAATGTTACAGGTCACTCCCACATCATCTTCCTGATTGGATCCTAGTACAGTTCCCCAGGGCAAAGCTGAAGAAACTGATCTGGAAGCAACAAAAAAGGAGCCCCTTTGGCTCTGCAGCAACTAAAGAATCTTGCTTAAAGAAAAAAGTTTTGACAAAGTAAAAAGGCCTTGCTTTTCACACAGCAAAGAAAAGAATTCTCCTAAGTATACTAAATAAACTAAGGCAGGCTGGGAATGAGAGAGGTTATACTGAGCTATTCTTATAGCTTTGCCAGTGTTGAATTCTACTGAAGGTGGCAGTATAACCCAGTGTACAAAATACTATTCTATGACACGTAATACGCTTGAGCCTAGTCCCTTGCCTATTAGGTTAGGCTAATGTATTGCATAAAAGCAGAGCCTATAATATGAATGCTGCTGATTTCTTTTTTTTTTTTTTTTTTTTTTTACTTAGCCACAAGTTTGTAAATTGGGATCACTAGGTTAAATTTACTGAGTGACACTGATTATTATTTGACATTAAAGCTTAATTTCATCAATGATCGTCAATGAGAGACAAAAACAACAATCACAAATAATATATACTTTAGCTTAAAGGTTGTTGTTGTTTTACCTAGGTATTAGTGTGGCCATTATCATTATGTCATTTGCTTGGCTTACCTTGTAATGATGTGATACATGTTGTGGCTGCAGTTTGTACTGTCATGGCCAATTGATTCCCCTACGCAACGTCTTGCTCCATATCACAATCCATGTAGCACCATTCCCACATCACAAATGTGGGAGTGCTAATGTGATGAAATACTGCATGGTGAGCTCTCTCTTAATTGCTCTGCCTGTTGTGTCAGATCTAATTAATTAACTCTCACCTGAAGAGCACTAGACTGAGAGACCTAGGAATTGTGGGATATATAGTTTCTTCACAGGAAGTGTCAGTTCTTGGACTAAAGACTGAGGGCATGCATTAAAGTGGTATTAAACCCAAAAGCAAACATTTATTATTTTGCAGCTTATCAATTCTTAGCTGTGGTGGATGCATTCGTTTTTTTTTCTTTACCTTTTTTCACCTGGTGACCTGGCCAGTAAGTCTGTTGTTTTTCAAAAGAACAAAATTTTGCAGATGTAGCAGTTAAGAGAGTTAAGACAAACCATTTTAACACTGACAGGGGCGCTTACAAAAATCAGCTTTTATTTATGTAAAACCTTTAACCCAAAATGAAAAAACTGTTGCTGTAACTGCTTATAAAAAGTGTGAGCTGGAGATTGGCTTCAGTTTCTTAGTGTATTTAAATCTGCTAGAACTTCCAACTCCCTTCCCCCAAGACTGATAATTCTGGTGTTCAAAGGTGGCCCTGTGCGCCTTCACTCCAATACAGATGTGCTACTGGCCAGATTACCTGGTGAAAACAGAGGGATAATAAAAAAAAAAATAAAAAATCAAGCACCCACCACATCTAATGATTGGTAAGCTACAAGATATTACATTTTTTGGTTTAATACCACTTTAACCTGTGCAGTGCATGCAACATGCTTCAACTTCTGACACCAGAATGTGAAGATTTACTCTAAGATAGGATGTGAATACAAGACAGCAAATGACAGCAAGAAACTATATTATCAGTGCATATCATATGCAGCTGAAAAACACAAGCTGCAGATAGGAAGGTTTATAATGCCTTCAATGAATGGAGCATACTGTTAAAAATCAGGTGGCAGCATGCATTCAAACATGCAGAAAAATACAGATTTCATTTTTGAACTTTACGAAATTACGGTTTTATTATTGAATGGTCTAGAAATTAGTGTCCTAATAATATTAAATTGAGATATATAAAACAGATGAGGCAAAAATCTGTCTTATAGGAGTACCTTTTGATGCTTGGCTCCTTTAATGTGTGCAGCATAGGCATCTGGTCCAGTACAAGAAATATCACAGAGCTGACAATGCAACTGCGTATGTGCACCTCTCATAGGAATCTGGGCGGTGACTGAAAGTTCTTTTTTTTTGTGCTTTTGTCCCTCTAAATGCTCTTTGTAAGTCTATGAATAGAAAACAATTACAACTAATTAAAAGGCACATTTATGTTTTACAAACATTGAAATAAAAAATGTTTTCAATATACATGTCATTTTAAGCGGAACTATACTACTCAACTCCACTCTAGCCAGCATCCTGGTAGTTCACTGAGGACTAGAAGATGTCAGTCGCAATGGCTGATGGTAGTTGTAGTTCTCCCCTTCACAGAACTCTGTCAATGAACAATGCTGCCAGATTGACGGAGCCCTGAACGGCCGCATCTTTTTTTTTTTTTTAAATAGTGACAACGGGTGTGGGGAGAAGATCCCCAGCCTGCTGTCACAACAGGGGCTCGGGTGGGAAAACTACCAATTTTATGCAAACAGTGTGTGTTATGCCCTGCAGACAGTGTTTAAAGACAGGAACCAGGAGACCCCATCTTGATTTATCCACAACATTGAGCCTGTAAAGTCCATGCTTCGCCCCCATCATGGTACACAGATTTTCTGTGGCTCAGAACCATAGACGTGGACAATGGGTCTGGACCAGTATAGCACCCTTCAGCTAAATTTTACACATTGCACTTTGTGCCAAGGTAAGCGCCTAATGCAGGATTCAGTGCCCAGAGCAAACATTACAGGCCAGCCATAGTTTGGGGATTGGGTACAGTCCCCTGGGTACACACTGAGGGTAAGCAATCTAGAAACTGCCAAGTAGTGCAAGGCAATAATCAGCCAAATGTTGATAGATTTTTAGAAGAAATATAAACAAAATGAAAAAACCTTCTCTGTGAGCCAGTTTTTTTTTTTTCTTGTGCCCTTAAGTGATGGACCTGTTCTTTTCCAGAGAAGGTTTTTTCATTTTGTTTATATTTCTTCTTCTAAATCTATCAACATTTGGCTGCTTATTGCCTTGCACTACTTGGCAGTTTCTAGATTGCTTACCCTCAGTGTGTACCCAGGGGACTGTATCCAGGTGTGTACCCAGGGGGCTCTTTTTCCCATGGAGTTTGGCTGTAGAGAGCATTGATCTGCCTACTGCGCCAGAGATGACCACTGCACCTACATAATAATCGTACAGTACTTGTATTCATAGAGCATGGGTTATTTGCTGTTATTTTCAGGTGATTTGCTAGAGCCTTCTCCACAGCATACCTATATAACTTTCCCTACTCTGGAAAAGAACAGGTCCATCACTTAAGGGCACAAGAAAAAAAACTGGCTCAGAGTAGGAAAAGTTATGTAGGTATGCTGTGGAGAAGGCTCTAGCAAAAGTTTTTGCCAGTTTCCAATCACCTGAAGATAACAGCAATTAACCCATGGTCTATGAAGTACTGTTACCTGTACGATTAATATGTAGGTGCAGTGGTCATCTCTGGCGCAGTAGACAGATCAATGCTCTCTACAGCCAAACTCCATGGGAAAAAGAGCAAACCGAAACATAAATATCAAGGGGCAGGAATTTAAAGATCCAAGCTCTGACCTACCAGTCCCAGGCCATTGGCCACCATGCTTAAGGGGAATTAACGCAGTGCACCCATTTCGGAAGAGCATAAATCTACGGGTTTTCATGAACTGGATCTACTGGGACTAATCGCGGTGTCCCAGTGTAAAGCACCTTGTGGCTAACTCTTTGCCTTGCAGGCTGTTCCAAAACAGAAGTAGGAAAGCCTGGGGTTCAGTGTCCGAAGCAATGTTACAATCTGATCCCACATTTTTCAGCTGGCTGTGGCATGCCTAGGGTACTGATTGAGAAGTTGAACAATTAGCCTGGAGTGCAGCTGAGTACTTGAAGCAGGAATTCATGTAGGAAATCCAGAAATCATTCTCAGGAGAAGACATCCATTGCCTACTAAGCAAATACTAAGGGTTGCTGGGAGTAGGAGAGGTTATATGGCAGGTAAACAGAGCTTTAAAACTCAGTTGTGTAAGACTAGGCCTGTGTCCTGTACAGTATGAGACAAAAGTTTTAAACATCGCTGCTTACCAAATCTGAACAATGTATTATTCACAAACTGATGACACTTGTAATTGTGATAATTATATTAAAGCAGAACAAAATTTTGCTGGGCAGGAGTGGGCTCTAGTATGCAACGTGCAGACTTGCATAATAAAGCATATTTTGGCCCCTAGAGTTCCCCCTTATACTGATGGCATGTCCAGGGTTCCCTCATTTTCCTTGCCACTTCTTCTGGGAGCATCAACAGCCCTCTTTTGGCCACTGATGATGTAAGTCCTGTGCATGCGCACAGGAGTTACATGGTCCCATCTCCATACACTACATGCCAAAAAGACTGATCAAAGCAGTTCGGTGTTTCTAAATGTAAAATAATGCACCTAGTAAAATAGGATCTCTTGACAGAGTACAATATTGGGGGTATAGTGTTGGCCAGCACTAGGAAAAAGATTTAGGGGTACTCATTTATGCGTGTGTGGGGGTGGCATAAAGACACCACTGCCACCATTGTGTGGGAAAAGGGGAGGCAGTGGACACGGGGAAGGGAACACTACTGCGTGGGGGGCAGAGGACAGCAATATTGGTGGGGATGATGTGAAGGGGATAGATGACACTAATATGAAGGGTTGTGATGTGAAGCGGTGCCATGTACACAACCACGAGGGGAAAGGTTGTGGGCAGGGGATGATGTGAAGGGGTGCAGAGTACCCTACTGTTGGGGAGGGAGTGATGTGAAGGGGCAGAGGACAATACTGTGAAGGGGAGCGAGGACACTACTCTGAAGTGGAGACTGTGGTGTGAAATGCGGGAATCTTGATGTGAAGAGAAGGGAACTGTGATGTTAAGGGGCACTGTGATGTAAAGGGGAGGGGGGGGGAATTTTGATATGCAGGGAGGATTAAGGATGGGATTATGATACAGGAGGAGAGGTCTGTGACGTGAAGTCACCAAAAAAAAAAAAAAAAAAAGTGATTTGAACCTCTGCTGGAAAAAAATGTACTAATTGGATCTCCATGAATTTTAATTCAATACCCTGCCCTATATAGAGCTTTAGTTAGGCTGTGTCCAGTTCTGGAGACCTCACATACAAAAAGATACTGATAAAAACGAGAACAATAAGAAGGAGTCCAGAGACAAGCAACAAAAATGGTGAAAGGTCTGGGGGGAAAAAACATGGAGACACTTCAGGAACTCAATATATAGTCGGGAGCAGATCTAGGCAAATTACAGCCTCAGGGCTGTACCTATTCAGCCCTGATGCCTCCATTATTCTAATGAAGCAGACAGGCTCAGAAAGGCATGCTGACAGATATCCATGTGGAGAGCTACAAGAACTGGAAGAAGAGAGCCTGAGTAGCTGGTTTGAACAGCAGGGAAGCTCAATTCTTGTGAGAAAGCATTGCCTAGTTCAACTACCTGGCCAAGTTCTTTCGGTGTTAGTGTCTGCATGCTACAAATCCCAGGAGCCATGCACCTGCTCTTCACTCCAGGTCAGGAGCTGCAGAAATTATTATTATTATACAGGATTTATATAGCGCCAACAGATTGCTCAGCGCTTTACAATATAACGGGAGACAATATAGCAACAATATAGTTCAATACAAGAGGGATAGGAGGGCCCTGCTCCTCGGAGCTTACAATCTAGGAGGGAGTGGCTAGTGGTAAAAAAGGTAGCAACTGTGGGGATGGACTGGTTGGAAGAGTAGAAGATTCCATTATTAGCTGAGGGCAGGATAGGCTTCCCTGAAGAGATAGGTTTTCAGAGATCGCCTAAAAGTGAGCAGAGTAGGCGATAGTCTGATAAATAGGGGTAGAGAGTTCCAGAAGATGGGGGAAGCTCTGGAAAAGTCCTTGAGACGAGCATGAGAGAAGGAGACAAGGGACTAGAGAGCAGGAGGTCTTGCGAGGAGCGGAGAGTATGGTTTGAGTGATATTTGGAGACAAGATCAGTGATGTAATTTGGGGCACAGTTATAAATGGCTTTGTATGTTATTGTTAATGTTTTGAATTTTATCCGTTGGGCAATGGGAAGCCAGTGGAGGGATTGGCAGATACAGAACGGTTAGTAAGGTGGATAAGTCTGGCAGCAGCATTCATGATAGACTGAAGAGGGGATAGCCTGGGATTAGGTAGGCCAATGAGGAGGGAGTTGCAATAGTCAAGGCGAGATATAACAAGGGAGTGAATAAGTTGCTTAGTGGTTTCCGTGGATAGGAACGGGCGTATCTTGGAGAAGTTGCGGAGGAGAAGTCTACAAGATTTGGACAGTGATTGGATTTGGGGGTAAAAGGACAGATGGGTATCTAGGATTACACCTAGTACCCTGGCATGAGGGGAGGGACTGATGATTGCGTTATTGAACTTGATGGAGAAGTCAGGGGAGGGGGCACGGGCTGGGGGGAATACTAAGAGCTCAGTTTTGGAAAGATTGAGTTTGAGGAAGTGGAGTGACAACCATGCCGATATGTCGCTTAGTAGGTTAGTAAAGCGAGAGGAGACTGAAGGGGTGAGGGGTAGAAAGATAGATTTGTGTGTCATCAGCATAGAGATGGTACTTAAAGCCATGGGAGTTTATCAAGTGACCAAGGGAGGAGGTGTAGATGGAGAAGAGAAGGGGTCTAAGGACAGAACCTTGAGGGACCCCTACAGAAAGAGGGAGTGAAGAAGAGGAGGCAGCGTTATAGGTAACGCTGAAGGAGCGCTGAGATAGGTAGGAGGAGAACCAGGAGAGAGCAGAGTCTCTGAGACCAAGAGAGTGGAGTTTTTTGAGGAGGAGGGGATGGTCAACCGTATAAAAAGCAGCAGAGAGGTCAAGAACTAAGAGTACGGAGTAGTGGCCATTGGTTTTAGCTGTTAGTAGATCATTAGTGAGTTTTAGTAGGGCAGTTTCAGTGGAGTGTAGTGAGCGAAAGACAGACTGTAAAGGGTCAAGAAGGTTGTTGTCGGTGAGGTGGGAGCTCAGGCAATTGTAGACTAAGCATTCTAGGAGTTTAGAGGTAAATGGCAGCAGGGAAATGGGTCTTAAGTTGTTCAGGTTAATGGGGTCCAGGGAGGGCTTTTTAAGTAT